ACAGCTGACCCTTCAGTTCTTGTCCACTGCTCAGCAGTCTTAAGTCACTTTGACCCCATCTCACTCTCATTTTTAAATGAGGTCGTTGGTCACAGGAAACCCTCAGGCTCCCCTGCTGATCCCATCCCTGCTGCATTTTTTAAACAGGTTCTACCGTCAACTGGACCCTCTGTTCTTGCCATTATTAACAGCAGTTTGGCTACAGGTGTGGTCCCCGATGTTTTAAAACATGCAGTGGTAACTCCATTAATTAAAAAACCCGGACTCGACCCTGCAGCTTGTTCAAACTTCAGGCCAATCTCAAAACTTCCATTTCTTTCTAAAATCTTGGAGAAAATAAGTTTTAGTCAACTAATCAAGTTTTTAAATTGAATTTTTGAGATTTTTCAGTCAGGATTTAAACAACTGCACAGCACCGAGACAGCTTTAGTAAGGGTCTGTAATGACATTCTGCTAGCAAATGACTCTGGTCAGTCTGTGATCCTGGTACTCCTCGACCTTACCGCTGCATTTGACACTGTTGATCACAGCATCCTTATGTCACGGCTAGAACACTAGGTAGGGATTACAGGGGTGGCGCTAGAATGGTTCCGTTCGTATCTGGGTGACAGGAGTTTCTGTGTTAACTTTGACAATCATTTTTCTGCTTCTGTCCCTCTTTCCTGTGAGGTCCCACAAGGCTCCATTCTTGGACCTCTTCTGTTCTCATTGTATCTGCTCCCCTTGGGGTCAATCCTGAGGAAACATGGTATTTTGTTTCACTGTTACGCCGATGATTCTCAGATTTATCTGCCTTTAAAACCAAACAGTTCTTGCTCCATCCACCCTTTGCTAAAATGTCTTGATGACATCAAGACTTGGATGGCTATGAACTTCTTGAGTTTTAATGATCAGAAGACTGAGGTCATTGTGTTTAACCCAAGCTCTACCACTGTCACTGATCCTGCAAACCTGCACTCCCTTCAGCCTCATCTAAAGCAGTCGGTTACCAATCTCAGGGAAGTGTTAGACTCGGACTTTAAGTTTAATAAACAGATCAACTCTGTTCTACAAAAGAGCTTCTTTCAGCTAAGGCAGATAGCAAAGCTTAAGTCCGTTCTGTCCAGATCTGACCTTGAAAAAGTAGTCCATGCATTTATTACAACCCGGCTGGACTACTGTAACTCACTTTATGTTGGGGTCAGTCAGGCTTCACTCTCACGTCTCCAGCTCGTACAAAATGCTGCAGCTCAGCTACTAACAGGAACTCACAGGTTTGAGCACATTACTCCAGTTCTGTCCTCTCTTCACTGGCTTCCTGTGAGTGTCAGAGTTGATTTTAAAATTCTCCTGCTGACATTCAAGTGCATCAACGGCCTTACACCATCATACCTCTCTGACCTTCTTCATCCTTATACTCCTTCTCGGGCCTTGAGATCATCAGACCAGCTGCTTTTGGCCGTACCAAAAACCAGCTGAAGCTCAGACGAGATCGAGCGTTTTCAGTCATGGGTCCTAAACTCTGGAACAACCTGCCCATCAACATTCGACAGGCCACCTCAGTCTCTGCTTTTAAATCTCTCCTAAAAACACACCTGTACTCATTGACATTTAACACAGGGTGATCAGATTTAGATCTAGTTTTTTATTGATGCTGATTCTGTTTATGCTTTTGTTATTATTCCTATTTAACACAAGGTCATCAGATCTGATTTAGTATTTCATTGTTTCTAATTACGTTTTTGGTTTTATATTTTTATTCCATGTGCTGTAAATATATCTTGCTACTTTTCATTTGATGTTGTGATATTTTTGTTAAGCACTTTGGTAACAGTTTCTGTTTTAAATGTGTTCTATAAATAAATCTGACTTGACTTGACTTGATAACTGGTTGTAACTACAGTACCCATCTGCTGCACTCTGTACTCCTTGGTCAGTTGGTCATCACTATCTACACGTAGACTCACTCTGGTTCATTTTCATCTGTAGTGAACTCGGCCTCCGACCAAAACCTGCCTCTGAGGACCTTCATGGGACAGGAACTGTTATGTCATTGATTTGAATCCAGAAATACAAATTAGCTGATCCAGAGACTTTCTAATTGTATCCTGAAGTAATCAATTGAAAGAACACTCTCTTTTTATATTATCATTACTATTTTTACAATATCTTGATAATCAAATGTGTGTTTAGTTCATATCATTTGTAGAATTGAAATGAACTACTCATTTTAAATCAACTGTGAAACAGTATTAATTATTTTTTTAATCCTCATTTAAATTAGAAATCAAGTTAAATGTCTATTTACAAAGTAATTATGCATTTTGATCTTCTGTTTGAATGCGAAGTAGTGATGTCGGTCGAAAGTCAGAGACAGTCAGAAAGAAGTTTTTAGAACAGGCTGTATTGTTTTTAAACCTATCATACGGTAAAAGAGAAACACTGGCACCTGCAAAGTTTCTCACTTCCTCAAAACATTTCCCTGTCTGTACTAAACGTTCCTAAACATTCTTGCACTTTCTTGACTTGTAATAACCCTCTGACATCACTAGAACCACCCCCTGTTGGTTGTTTCAAACAATTAGGAAGTCCTGAAGTGACCGGAAGTGAGAACTCTTTAAAAGTCCACACTTCCTGGAGTCTTCTCAGTCTTCAAGTGGGTCTCCTGAGCCTCTCAGTCTTCTGAGTCTTTGATGGAGTCTTCCACATCTGAGTGGAACCTCTGACGGACTCACAGCTTGCTGTGTATCCACCCGGCAGATGAGCGTGTTTGTTGAACGTAGTAAACAACATGACTCCTGACGATGGCCAGCCGCTCTTACCGGAGACGCTGGAAGGTAGCGTTGAAATGGACCCGACACCGGAGCTGATTAATTTCTGCAAAGGTAACGAGTCTGACGCGCCAAGTGTACCGGAGGTTTTGAGCTGGTGTTGAAAGGAGCGTACCATTCTGCTGTCCGAACAGACACCCCCCTTCACCCATCTTTTCTCTTCGTTCCTTCCTTTAAAACTCTTCTATCTTGCCAGTAATCTAAATGCCTTCAGAAATGTCTTGTTGTCTTATTAAGTAAAACGTGCCAAGTTTTATTAATCAGAACCAGATCAGCAAATCAATGTGTACATGTTTTGATGTTATATTTTGATTCTGTTCAATAAATGACCACATTTATTCTGATGGGTCAAAGGAAATTAACGTCTCATGTCTCTGATTTAAATCCTCACAGTACCTCGTCACATGGCCTTAATTTAACTCGAAAAAGAGAGAACCCGTTATACTTAAATAATTAGTAGTGAAAGGTGCAGCTAAGCTAACCCTGACACCACTACACATCTATATATCCCTCCTTGGTCATCTACCTTCTTATATCTCCTCCCACATGCCACATTGTCAATACAGTTACAACATGCACTCTCAGGCCATCATTACCAATGGAGGCCAATGGGGACACCTTCCAACAGAAACTGAAGTTGTCCTCCTTGATTTCTTTAAGAGGTTTCAAACATTTGATAATGACAATAGAAAAAAATCAAAGCAAATATGTTCTTGTTTTTAGTATATCACCCTGTTATATGGCACCCTGATTTATTATTTTGTACACTACTCTTATTTGAACTGCATTTTTTACTGTAGTTTATTGTTGTCATTGTTTACAGTTATTGTTGTCGTCTGTACTTTATATGTTCTGTCTGGAACATGTCCCTATTGTAAATGAGTTCTCATGGCTCAGTGAGGCTAGCCTGTATAAAGGTTGAATGGGAAAGAAAAAAAATGTTGTTATTTGTTTTGTTTTGTTTTGTTTGTTTGTTTTGTTTGTTAGCAGGAAGCATTTTCAGGAAGCATATTTTCAATCCGTCTGCAAATTATTATATGTGATGTGCAAAAATCAAAAATATTGGCATCTCTCTGCTCAAACAGTTTAAGTTTGTCCTCTCCTGTCCACTCGCCTGTTTTGGCCATGCTTTGGCACTCTTCACATCCACAGTGATGTCACTTTGTTTTCATTTCTGCGGGTGTGCGCTACTCTGACCCTACAGCATTTACAGCTTTGCACACATTGTACCACTGACTCCTCTTGCTCTTGGCACTAATTCCAGAGGACAGCATTTCAAGCAGAATGTTTTTACGTGCATCTTCCTCATTTAGAAGCATCTACTACAACTCACATTCCATGAAGTTCCTCTTTTTCCTATTTTTAGACATGATTTTCTATAGTGCAGAGAGGAGATTCCTCAGGCGCAGAGCAGATTTAAACCTATTTGCATATTTAAATTGAGGGATATTGAGGGAAGAGTTAAGCATTACCTCATGTGTGATCAATTCCACATTGATTTGGATGTACAAAGGAAGTGTGCTTGAATTCATGCGTACGTATTATTTCATACATCTGGATTTTTTTGTGTGTATGCCGTTTTCTTGATTTAAGCATACACCATTTTTGAGTAGGAAATCCATGCATGTCTTTGTACATGAAGCCCCTGATGCAATCAGTTACAGCTCAAAGTATGTGTTGGGAATCATTGTCAGCTACTACCAGATCAAATTTTATCTCAGTATTTGCCTAAGTGACACAACCATGTTTTTGTTTTATTAGCTGTGGAAGCTATGGTCCCCTTTTTTAATTGGGGTATCTTCAAAAGTTTTTAATGTATAATCAATATTTAATTTATTTAAGTTTTATTAAAATGTATTCACAGGTTCACGAGATATGTTGATAACACTCACACATGCGCGCGTGCACAGACACACACACACACAGACATACACACGTGTGTGCACAGACACACACACACACCATAATTGTCCACATTTACTTTTCTTGAGAGGTCAGTAATCATGGAGATGTTTTTCTTTAATTCCTGACTCTTGGTTTCTGTTACAAAGAGAATGGCCTAAAAGTTTTGAAAACCACTGCTTTAACTCTTCACTGCTCACACAGACTAAAAAAGTCAAAGGCAGATTCTGTCACTGTATTCCTAGTATTGATCAGGTTCTCAAACTAATGTGTGATATTTGTCTTCAGGCCCTTCTGGAGAGGCAATACAGATCCATCACCAGACCCGACAGAACATGACAGAGCTGCAGGGAAACCAGCAGAGAGATTCAACACACACATCTGCAGAATTGCTGGAGTTGGCTTATCACGAAGCAACTGGAAGGTCAGTACAGTAGACTTGTTTACCTGATGTAAAGTGGATAACAATATGAAATACAGACCAGGACCTGGTACTTACTGTGTATGTACCTGAGACATACTGGATAATCACTGGGGAATTACTCTAATACTGACCAGGTACCTACTTCGTACATACTGGGTACCCAGTACCTGGTATTCAATATGTTTCAGATACTTACCTGTTGGGACATACTTGTTAAGTACCCAGTGCTTACCCAATACATACCTGGTACATGCAAGGGAGGTTTGAGTTTGCTCAAATGTAATGGATGGAAATAAACAAAGAACAAATTCATTTAAAAATGGCATACTTCCTGTGTGAAAAAGTTGTTTTTTATATTCTGAAAGCTTAAGTATTTCAAATTTCAATTTTAACATCAAAGTAAATGAAAATGGAAAAAGTTGCTTGAACATTTAAGGGGGCGCTGTTCAGCTTTGTTACCACGCCCATAAATTTTGTGTATGTACACATGTTCAGATTTATTCCTGCACATTTTAGTACAGATTGGATTAATTTTGTGAGAGGTACTCTAGTATTATGAAGATCAAAGTTTGCTCCACCTCCAAGACAGTGCCCTCATTACTATCAAGGAGTGGTTGATACAGCTAACCAATAAGTTAGCTTCACCATCTCATATTCTGCTAACTAAAAAGTTAGCTTTGCTAATGCTAAACCGCTAAACAGGTAAAAAAAATTAGAGGAAGCTAACACTTAACTGCTAGCCGCTAAGACAGCTGTCACTCAGTCTACATCACACATCTTTGTCTCCTTCCAGTTTAAGCTGCATCGACCAATCATGTCTTGTCACTTGGACACGTAGTAAGCCAAGAACGTGCCTAACGGACTTTCCCACACTCCCTCAACAAACAGGAACAAGTTTGTAAATGTTGTTAGCTAACTTAAAGTTGGCCGTACATAATTTAGCAGGAGCTATTTCTGCTAACAGTTTTCAAAGTTAACGAAAATGCTTATCTGCTTAACAAAAAATATTTTTGCTATTAGCTGTTAGCAGATTAGCAGAAATGTGCCCACTACTGCTATCAAGTAACGCAAACATGCTATCTGTTGTCTGACACAGTTTAAAATTGTGTTCAAGTCAGAGAAAAAAGTTCATGAGTAAAACACGTGATCTCCTGTTTTCAGTCTGCGGGGCTAAGGAAACGATGTCACAGTAACATGTAAACATGTTTAGGTCCAAAGAGTGATCAAATGTGCATCTTGTGAAGATCAGGTGTTTTATGAGTCTGTTATAGGAACTTTGTGTTTCGAGTTTAGCCACGACTACACCCTACAACAAAAACTCAAGCTTTTAAAAACTTTTAATCCCCCATACCTTAAAAGTTTACTGACAAAATTTGAAGCAGGTACCTGGAATGCCCTAGAAAGATCTAAAAAGTTAACTCGGGTCCTCTGGACGTTCAAAAAACAAACAAACAAAAAAGCATTGAGCATGCGTAAGGATGACCTAGAAAGAGTTTGTTCAAGTATGACACGTAAAACCTGAATAGTATAATGGATTTTATATCCATTATAGATTGTGCATTGTGAAGACTTTCTCTTTGGGTTCGTCACACATTTCATTAGACTTTATTTGTACCTCTTGGTGAATTCTACATGTTTACAACATTTCACATCTCTAAGTTAAACTAGCTTGAAGTTTGAAACTTTGAAACTTATCCACCTTATTCCTAGCCCCCATGGTGCCTTGCATGAATTATGGACGTCCGACGTGGACCAGAACCGGCACTGCTTAAGTGTGAACAGTACGAGCTAATGTAGTTTCTCTGAGCATTGTGGATTTAATGTAGGAACACCACCTGTCAGAGCTCAAGCAGGACAATATACTGTAATCATACCGCTGCCTACTGCAGACAAGGGAGAGGATGACGACCTGAAGAAGTGGCTGCAGATTACATCTACTATCATATTTAGCTACTTCATTGACTCGGTTGTTCCGACGGTGAAGCGACGAACAACCTGAAAAGCTCTGAGGCGCATTAGTATCTATATCCTGATGCATGCTCAATAATCCAGGTGGAAAAATCTAAAACAGATAAATCTGGTCCTCTGGACATTCAAATTTTGAATGTCCAGAGGACCAGATTTAACTGTTTTAGATTAGTATCTATACATTAATAAGGTCGGTGGAGTTTTGTTAAAAGAGGTGGGACACAATCTTATTTACCTTAAAGCAGACATAGAACCCAGCCAAAGATTTTAAGAACTCCATCATTGAGCTTGGGTTAATTGCAGAGAAAATCATAATACTGAAGATGAACAAATACTATAATGCTGTGCCCTCCATATACTTGAAATCATACCTGATATTCTTGTCACACTCTTTTCAATACTTTTGAGGATCTGGCATTTCTTCTCCAGTGGTTTTTTGTAGTCCAGCCACAAAGTAGGATGCAGGTTTCCTCCATTGGCCGTTTGTCAGCAAAGTGAAATGAGCACAAATACAGCGTTTTGGGTGGTTTCTTCATATTCAGTTTTTTCAGCAACATTCTTCTTAATTCCTCATCTATACTGTGGGTAGGTGATGGAAACTATATCTCTTTTCACAGAAACACTCTTTTTGTTTTGGGTCTGTTTTGCAAACTGTTGTTGTAGCCACTGATTTAGTTTAGTCTGGTTGTTCGTGCAGCCGTGAACACAACAGGTATCTGAACTCAGCAAGGCTATTTTATTCAACTTTCTTCATCTTCTTTCAGCTTTTCCCTCGTTAGGGGTCGCTACAACGAGTCATCCTCCTCCATCTCACTCTGTCCTCTGCATCCTTTGTCGTCACTCCAACTACCTCCATGTCCTCTCTAACTGCATCCATATGTCTCCTCTTTGTCTTTTTCCTGGCAGCTACATTTCTAACATTCTTCTACCAATATACCCACGGTCCCTCCTCTTGACATGTCCAAATCATCTTAGTCTGTTCTCTCCAACTTTATCTCCCAGTTGTTCAACCTGTGCTGTACCGCTGATGATCTCATTCCTAATCTTATCCATCCTTGTCACTCCTAAAGAGAACCTCAACATCTTCATTTCTGCCACTTCGTTTTTTTCTTCTGTCTTTTTGTCCTTGTCTCTGTCTCCAGACCATACAACATAGCTGGACTCACTATTGTCTTTTAAACTTTTTCTTTGACCTTTGCTGACACCCTTCAGTCACAAATCACTCCTGAAACTTTTCTCCATCCACTCCATCCTGCCTGGACTCTCTCGTTCATCGCTTTACCACATTCCTCATTTTCCTGGACAGTGGACCCCAAGTACTTGAAGTCCTGCATCTTTGTGACCTCTGCTCCTTGTAGTCTCACTGTTCCACCGGCCTCTCTCTCATTCACACACATGTACTTTGTCTTACTATGGCTGACTTTCATTCCTTTTCTTTCAAATGCATACCGCCACCTCTCGAAGTTCTCTTCCACCTCTTCACTTTTCTCACTACAGATCACAATGTCATCTGCAAACATCATAATCCAAAGGGATTTCTGCCTGACCTCATCTGTTAGTCAGTCCTATCACCAGAGCAAATTGCTGCTTGTGCTTGATGAGGACTGACACTTTTCCCTCCTGCTTTGCTCTTTGTCTTGTGAATCCTATTGAAGCCACTCACTACATATCATCTGAATTGTAAATTATAGATCTGGTCAGCTGGTCTCTCAATGCAATTGATATATTTTCTTGACAAGAAGATGGGGCAAAGGAGAGCCCTCATGCCTTAAAGGGACACTCACAGCTGGATACACTATGGATTCCTGGGGGCAGTGGAAGATGGTGTGTCTGTCTGTATTGTCGGGTGAGGATGTAGAATATGTGCACATAACTGGATTTATGATAATTTGATTTCTGCATTTTGAAGTTGGCAGGTATCAGGCATATCTACAAATTCGAAAGACAGCGATAGCGGTTCTGGCAATTGTGAGGCTACCTGCCTTGTATGAAGGAATGTACCGAGTGGTAAGCTCTCAGATTCAGACACTGCATGAGCTGAGCTGTAAGCTGGACGCGATTTCTTGCGGCTCCTGTGACTCACTGGTGGGAAGGAATTGACTTTGGAAAAGGCTACAAGCTCGGTCCGGCGGTGTGACAACAAAATTTGGCTGTTTGGAATCACCAGTGAGACGTACCAACATAACTATCAGAGTCAGAGTCAGAGTCAGAGTTTCTTTATTGTCATTCGCACCTCATGTGGTACATGTGGTGGAGCGAAATTATGTACACAGGGTCCCAGTTACATCCAACAATAAAATGTACAAGAAAAACAGTAATAACATCTAAGATATGAACTAAGAAAAACATCAACTAAATATACACTAAGCACTCATAACATAAAACATTGAACATCAGCACAAACATGAACATGAGTCTGTGAGCAGATGAGCACGCATGAACACATCAACATTGAAACAGATCAGCAGCAACATGAAACAGATCAGCAGCAACATGAAA